GTGCCGGCCGCAGCCGCTCCACGCACGGCACGCGCGCCACCGCTGCCACCACCACCAACGACACGAGAACACACCACGGCCACGCGACCTACCACGCCACCCGCTCCGCAACCCCGCTCCGCCACCTCGCCTCGCACCTCCGCACGCCACCGCCGCCTCCGCCCGCTCGCCACCCCCGCGCTCCACCGCTCCGCCACCCGCTCCGCACCCCCGCTCCGCACCACCGTCCGACCCCGCCTTCCGCACCCGGTCCGCCACTGCCGCCTCGCAGCCCCGCCGCCGCCCCCCGCCTGCTACCGCCCGCACCACCACCGCTGCAGCCCCTGGCCCCACCCCCCGGCAGAGTGCCGCGCAGCATCTACACCCCACCTGGCCTCCCGGCCGGCGAATCCGCGTGGCCTCGCCCATCGTCCCGGCCACCCCAATTGCAATCGACGTCCGTCCCGCCCCCCCACTGTCGCCGCACTGCCATTCCATCGGCTGCTTCAATCGACGACTGCCGCCACCGCGCCGCGCCGCGCCTCAGTCCTCCGCTGCCCTTCTCCGTCGGACGGCCCTCGTGCTCAACCGGCGGCAGAAGTCGCCTCAATGGAACCTAGCCGCGCCTCCAAAGTCGCCGGCGCGCGGGGCGGCGGCCAGGGCGACGCGCCCGGGCGACGAGGCGGGTGCGGCGACGGGCGACAGGGCGCAGAGATGGGCAAAAGGTTCGCGCTCCGTCGCGCGGACCTCACCGCGCCGCCGTCGCCGGGCCGTCACGCCGCCGACCGTCCCGGGATGTCCTCCCTGCGCAACGGAGAACACGTCGATAAGTTACGGGAGGAATGAAGGCGTTCTGGAGCAACACACCGAATTATCACGTAACGTTTTTTTGGGGTTGGCCGTTCTTGTAGACTGGCACGAGAACGGGGAACGCGTGGAGCTGAGAGATGTCTAGGCGGATATCATCGGTCAGAAAAAATGCTTTGGTTTGTAGTCAATGAATTGATAGTTCGTATAATGAAGTGAACTTCTATTAGAAAAGAATGGCGTGAAGAAAGCTAATTCTGCTAACCATGTCCGTAACTAATAACTAAGGAATGTCAAAAGGCAAGGATTAATAGTCCTGCAAATATTTAAACGTCCCATCTCTTTCTTCTACGCAAGTCATCTGCGGGATTCACTCGTAGCACTCAGTATAAAGTAATTAATTTAGCCATTATGCGGTTTCATTACAAACTTCTTAGATGACAATACTACTTTGGTTTACTTAAAAGGTTCATTTGAATATTAATTGATCGGTCAAGATAATGTTAACATATGGCGTTTAAAGCTCACCTGTGTTGTATCCCGGAACGGAAAATGGAGAACTACCCATTATATTAAATATGAAAATAGTTTTCTCGCATTGGACAGTTCATCTCAGTAAGTTGACACAGTCGTGATAAGGAGTAAATGTAAGCTCACACCAGAGGAATGGACCAATAAGGGCAACTAAATCACTATGATTGTTTTAAGTAACTGAAATTATATGTTGATAAATGGTTTAGCATAATATTATGAAGGCTAATAAAGTAAAATAGAGTTCACCATATATACTTCAATGTATTTATAAATATGAACTACAATAAGCAGATATTTGTAATGGGCACTTACAAGATTTCGTAGTCATATTCCAATGTAGTTAGGGGGCACTCAGGAAATGAATTCAAAAATGCCTCAACGAGGTCGAACAGCCTTTTGAACCGTATGTTGGATGTTATTAAGCTTCAGTCGATTTTTCAAGTCCGAAACATTTTTCTAAGCAAAAAATTTTCTTGCGTCGTATGTACTTTCTTGCTGATAGATCTTCTGAGAAGATGTTAGGATTTGCGAATATACTTTTTACTACAATTGGCACGAACACACCCGTAGAATCCTAAAAGTTCAGTGTGTTTCCACGCTCCGAGTTTCTTCAAACATGAATAATCGATTGAGTATTATAAATTTTAGTATTACAAAACGATGGTATTCTATCTGTAAGAGAGAATCCTTACATCTCAATTAGCAGATTAAATACCAAATGCGGGT